GCACAATATAGATTCGTATATACTAAAAAAAGTATTTTATTCATTTGTTACTATAAAAATTTGCTTTTATATAATAATGTGATATGTGAACTGTTTTTCGAAAATTCTACACGAATTTTGGTTATAGATGTGATATGGAACAATATGAGACTTCAACATTTTGATATTTATTTCTACCAGAATGTCAATGATGACTGTTACTAGCATATCACAATATGCAGGGAAAAACGAATTTGCTATTCTAATAAAGCAAAATTTTTTATCGGCACTGAATTTCATCTGGTATATTCATTTCTAAGTGATATTTTTCAGTATCGTCCTTATATTTATTAGTAGAAAGATATATGTTACCTATAGTTATTTATAAATAACATTTTCTTGTGCAAAACTGAGTGAGATTCAGTGATTTTCTACTATAGATTAAAATATAGTTTCTTAGACGTTAAAATCTGGCAGGGTAATATCAGGAGTGTTAGTTAAGGTCCAGATTAAGGTGGTCCTTAATATGGACATTTTCGAATTTCCTTGCTCTTCGTATGGAAATAGCATGGAAAAAATTTTGAAAATAAAAAAAAAATGTTTTAGGTATAACTTAACGACAAATGAATAAGTTTTATTCATTCATTTGTTCGCAAAATTACATCTAAACCACATTTTTTTAATTTTCAAAATTTTTTCCATGCTATTTCCATACGAAGTTTGATTGAATTGCGCACTTTCTAAAAGTTAATATTAAGAGCTAAAACTTTCAGAGAATTGTTTTTCATCAATTTGGAACTATTTTAGCCCTTGGGAGCAAGGAAACTCGAAAATGTCCATATTAAGGACCACCTTAATATATATATATATATATATATATATATATATATATGTATATATATATATATATATGATTGCTCCTATCAAAATGGTCCTTATTATTATTAAAAAGTTAATTGTGGATGTACATACATACATATCTATAAATTTATGGCCGAGCAAAATTGCCAAGTAGTATGTAAATTTGAATTAACTTTTTCAATTGGAAAATACTCGCTAAATTAAATTTTGCCGGACAACATTTTTGTATAAAATTCCAATTCATCATGAACTCATATCTATAATAAAGTCACAAACCATTTTTGATATTGAGAATGTCCGCAAAAGTTTAAATTTCTTTATTTTATAATCATGTTAGTAACTGTATGAAATTTTATAAAAATAGGCTCTATTTGAATTTTTTGGGTTTTGTTTTGACTGCAAACTGCTGAAAACTAACAAAAACCCATAAAAAATTAGGCTATTCTCAAAACAATTATATACTAAATAAAACTGTTTATAAAGATGACAAATTTTACACCTATTTTACAATGATGTTTCAAAAATCATTAACATCAGTGATGTTTCAGTAATTTACCATTAAACCATATTGACTTGTACAAACATTTTCAGACATACATACGGCATTGTGAATGGATATCCAAGCAATTCATTTCCCAAATTTATTTTTGATTAATATATTCAGATATATCAAAAAAATTCCATAAATGTTTGCTCAAATCAAATTTATTCTTTTTAAGCTGACTTGAGTACCTACTACAATTCATCGAATGTGTGAATCCAGCCTAATTACAAGTTGCTTTCATACGTTTCTCGCCCTCATCTCATATATACGTATTTAATGATAGGTCGCGGAAAACAACCCTCGGCGCGTGCCTCTGATTTTCAGAGTAAATAAAAATATTCGCCCAACCTCGATATTTGTTCAAAGGCTTGACTTTTGTTAAGCCACGCTTTATTTTGAGTTGGCACGTGGTTGCAATCAAAATAAATACGAAAAGTGTGCGATTGTATTCACATTTCCGAATGTTTCTTTCGTCCACCAAATTAGGCAGGTTGACAAACATATACTTGGTGAAATGGGATTTAGTAGTTATTTTATTAACTTTCCGAAGTAAAGTTTGGAACATCTGATTTGCTAATTTTATGCTTTCTAGACTGAATCTTTTGACACCAGAATTTGATATCGTAGGTGTATGTGAATCCACATAAAATTTCATTGAATAGAAAGAAGTATGTATAACATTTTTGATTATTATAAGGTAACCTACATATATTTATTTACAGGTGCATATACCTCACTCATACTTTTACCCTACATTGGTGAGTTGTCTTATAACTACTATGACCTAAACGTGACCACTGGACTGCCACGACCCTGCGATCACTCGTTTTTCTACGAGTGTTGTCGTGTTTTTACAAGCCGACTTATCGTATAGAATTAATCAGAAAAAAAGAGCAAATAAACTACGGGAACAGTAAAAAGTTTCTAATATATTTTTAGTTGGGAAACCCGATATAGTACTGGTTAAGATTTGCAATTGTATAAAATGTAGAATATAAGGTTTAAATTAGCTAATAAATATATAGAGCTTAAGCTGCATATAAGATTATAAATGAAAAATAAAATATATAATATATGTAAGCATAATCAGTACACGTAAATAAATACACTTATTAGGCTTATCTGAATGAAATGTGTGATTAAAGAATGCCTAATTTATATTAAATTTAACAACATCGTGACCTAAATTATAATCAAAATTATATTATATTATTATTAAGGTCATAATGTATAATATAGCTGTGTTAATGTATAATATATATAATTTAAAGTAGTACTCTTTGATCTACTGTGGGAGAAATAAAATATATCCAAAAACGTACTTGTTTATATTACAAACAACCATTTTTTTTCAAAATCTATTTATGATATATTATTAGATTTGTCTTCAAACTTAGGCAAGTTAACAAACATTGTGATAAAATTACTAATCAACAAAATGATTTAAAGCACAACTCCATGCTAATATTTTATTTGAATACTTATTAAGCATGATAAACATCGTTTGACCCTATTTATACCCATATTAGAAAAAGGTCTTGCAAATTAATATTAACTACCTAAAAGGGTTAAGAGGTCGTAATACCGAAGGCCTATAAAAATAATATGTTTGGAGAGAACAGCATTTGTAGTCAATATTATTAAAAAAAATTTAAATTGTGCGTTTTGGAGTTTCATAATGATTTACTTTGTTGTTTAAAAAGAGTTATAAATTCAAAAGCATAGATAATAATTAATAAATAAAGAATGATCTTTGGAAGTTCAAAGATTTCTTGAAAAGGGTCTGCAGATCGTTTGTATATAAATGAGATCGTTATTTGTTACTGAAATAAATTCGATATGACCAGTCTACTATTTCTTAGGTAAATTTATCATATTTAACAATACTTTCAGTGTAAAGGAAAATATATACTTTCAGTGTAAAATGAAACATTTTTGTATATTTTTAATTTACTTTTAAATATTTTATTTTTGTTTTGATAAAATTTCTAATATTTTAGAAAGATCGCACTTAATATAGTAGATATTTCTTCATTTATAGAATATACATACATATAAATAATGCATTCTATACTACTTTATCTATGAGAAAATGAGATTCGATTGAGACACTATTATACTAAAATTTCAAAAATCAAGGCTGTTTTTAACTAAAATATCTCCCAAGTCTGTATTTTATTAACATAAACGTGGCTTTAACATTGACTAGATTATAGTAAAAAATAATCGATCGTTGTCATTCAAGAATTCTAAACAGTCTCGCCTATATACTCGTGAAAATCTTCTATGTAAATTCAATTTAATCTTAAAGAAGTTAAGCCGAAGACATTATTCAGAAACTCGATACGTGAGGAATTGATACACAAGTTGATCAGGTAATAAATATTAAACATTTGCAAGCAATTAATAATAAAATTAAAATTAAGAAGCGTTCAGATTATTCTCGGATAAAATTGCTGTGCTATCATAGCAATAGTAAGACCAGAAACCATGGAAGCAATTTTATAAAGTATACCCATCTTTTCCATCAAATATATCACCAACATATTCTGTGATTGTCCCCAAGAAGAGTGCAACAGTTAACTATTAAAATATCTGACTAAGGGACCGATTCTGCCTTATAACAGACAAATATTATGGCAAGGCCATGTTACGCTCCAACTTTCATGCATTATGCTACTGAAACATACTACTAAAGATCAGAGTCAATGGGAGCAATTTTAAAATAAACCCATCTTTTCCATCTAATATATCACCAACATATTGTGTGATTGTTCCCAAGAAGGATGCAAGAGTTAACTATTTAAATATATGAAATTAAGGGATACTGCTGCATACAGGACCAATGTTATGGCAAGGCCATGTTACCCTCCAACTTCCACAAATTATGCTACTGAATCATACAGAATACTACTACTAAAGATCAGAGTCCATGGGAGCAATTTTAAAATAAACCCATCTTTGCCATCAAATATATCACCAACATATTCAGTGTTTGTCCCCAAGAAGGGTGCAACAGTTAACTGTTTAAATATATGAAATCAACTACATAACGGACCAATGTTATGGCAAGGTCATGTTACGCTCCAACTCCCGTACATTATGCTACTGAATCACACTGAATACTACTAAAGATCAGAGTCCATGGAAGCAATTTTAAAATAAACTCTTTTCCAACTAATATATCACCAACATATTCTGTGATTGGCCCCAAGAAGGGTGCAAAAGTTTTCTATTTAAATATATGAAATTAAGAGACCGATTCTGCCGCATATCACACAAATGTTATGGCAAGGCCATGTTACGATCCAACTTCCATACATTATGCTGAATCATATTAAATACTGTGAAAATGTCTTGTATTTGCTATGCATTCAGGCGTTTTACACAAAAACTGCAACGCCACTCGTATATTATGAACCTGAGTCAGAAAGACCCTATTATCTAACATCGTTTTTTTGACAATTGTGAGGTTTCTAGGTTGTTTTTTCTATCTGACAACCTGAAAAAAAACGCTTAACTGCACAGCTTTTGCCAATATTTATTATAGAAAGTTCTTCATAACATAAGCCTTGCCATAACATCGGTCTGTTATTCTTATTAAACTATCACTTACCATCACTGTGTTGTCCATACATCCCACCAACTCCAAAATCTTGGCTGGACGCCTTGGTGTCTCCATTATTTGTAGTACTACTCGTCTGGTTATCGCCTCCGTCCTGGACCTGCACCGAGGAACTGTTGTTCGTGTTCGAGGCTGACGTTGAGTTGTTGTGTTGTGCCTCCGGCAGTGGATGAATTGTTGCTGGAACTTGTGCGTTGGTCGAATTTGTTGCATTTATGTTTGGTGTTGTCGAATGGTTTACAGGTGATGATTTATTGGACAGGGTGTGGTTGCACTTGATTCTTGCCTGAAACATTAATAATTAATTGAAGATTTTGTAGTTCTTTTTTTGCTTTTTGACATTAGAATGCCAGTACATGAATAAATTATATTATCTAGAGAGAAATCAAAGAAAGATAGAAATGAAAATCATAGTTTTCCACAGTATGCTAGTAGTTAGATATATTTTATAAATAATAATGCATGTAATTTTATTAATAAAGAAACTAACTGATATGATTATCGAACTTGATATGTAATATTTATTACTTATATATGCGGTGTTATAAATATTTATTGGTTGAAATGAAAAATGTATTTTTTGTAATTTGAAGTAAGTTTTTTTTAAGATTAGTTTGATTCATCAAAAGGATGTCTAACAAATCATTAGTATTAATTGATTGTTTTGAATATTAATGATCAATTAAAAAGGATATCTTACCACTAACAAATCCTTCATATTTGTAAATTCATATAATATTTAAATCTAATAAAAGATTGTCAAATAAATCTGAGTTTATTATAAAAAACTACTAATTTATAGATAATAAAGAATACATAAAATAAATAAAATAATATTAATAAATCT